TGTTGGTTGCAAATGGGTCTATAATGTGAAATATAAGTCTGATGGATCCTTGGATCGTTTCAAAGCTCGACTGGTGGCTAAGGGCTTTCATCAACGCCCATGGATTGATTACTCTGAGACCTTTAGCCCAGTTGTCAAACCAGTTACTATTCGGGTTGTTCTAACTATTGCTCTTTCTCATGGCTGACAAATCAATCAACTTGATGTCAATAATGCATTTCTACATGGGGCTCTCCAAGAGGAAGTTTACATGAAACAACCTCCTGGTTTCAAGAAATCAGGCTCTGGGAGAATATGTCGTCTTAAGAAATGCATCTACGGGCTGAAACAAGCTCCTCGGGTGTGGTATCAGTCTCTCAGTGGGTTTCTTTTATCCCTTGGTTTTCATCAACAAGCTAGCTCAGTTTATGGACAAACCCACGATGAATCATTGGCAACTCACGAAACGCCTCTTGCGTTATCTTTAAGGAACTGCCTCTCATGGTTTATATCTCCGACGAAGTTCTTCCCTTTCCTTATGTGCTTATGCTGATGCAGATTAGGCAGGGAATCTAGATGACCGCTCCTCTATCAGCGCCTATGCCATTTTTCTTGGAGAATCACTTATTTCTTGTAAATCATCTAAGCAACGAACAATTGCCCAATCCTCTGCCGAAGCAGAGTATCGGGCCCTTTCCACTGCTTCCTCCGAGACCCTCTGGATTGAGTCACTTCTTCACGAGCTCCGACATTCACCTACTTCCCCTCCGGTTCTTCTATGTGATAATAAAGGCGCTACAACCTCTTCCGCCAATCCTGTATTTCATTCCCGCATGAAGCATGTTGCCATTGATTTTCATTTTGTCCGTCAACGTGTGCAACGTGGTCTTCTTCGAGTTCTTCATATCCCCTCACATGATCAACTAGCTGACATTCTCACCAAACCCCTTTCACGACAACGGTTTGTTTTTCTACGTGACAAGCTCAGGATTCTCAGCATTGATAGAATACCTGGCTTGCGGGGGCATATAGAAGAGTCCAGACAGCTCCAGAGAACCGTTACATTAGCTACAAAATAAATTTGAATTATTTGTATTTAGTATTATAAATCAGTTACAAATCTTTGTATTTAATATTATAATTAGTAGCCTGCCTTATTAGTCTCTAGGCTGTTGTATAAATAGGATATCATTTTCTGGAATGAATCAAGCCTTTCAGTCTCAGTCTGTTCCTACTCTAAATTCCATTAGAGTGTTGCTGTACCTCCGCCCCTGCTGGTTTAGCTTCAGATGGAGACGGGGAGTTACAGGACTTGAAACCGGAAGGTGGGCCGTGGGGAAGAGCTTTCCCGCCAAACAAATTTGTTACACATGTGACAGATCTCAAGATTATTATTAGGCCTTTCCACAAATGGAAAGAAGTGTGTCAGCACCTAGATTAGCCTAGTTTACTTATAAATTCCTCCTACTTTTGCCCCTTTTCTCTCTATAGAATCATGATTGCATAATCCATCATCTTACAAATTTATGTACTCACAGAATAGGGTTAATTTGGGAAATACATGATGGTAATAAAGTTAACTACTCCCTTTCATTTGTCATGAGTAATCCAAACAAATAAACCTACTTATTTTCCTTCCACTCACTATTTGACATCAATCCAAAATTTCGTGTTCCTTCTCCTCCTAAGCAGTGCAATCAAACATAGTCTTAGGAAATTGCATGCGGAATAAATGAAAGGAAGGGCTAGGTTAGACTGTTTTTTTCTAGACATACAGGGAATTAATCTTCATTGGGACAAAATTTTCCATCCATCAAACATCATGGTCAGCTCATCAGGAGTTGAGAGAGCGACAAGAAAACATTTCTTCCTGCAAATCTGCCAGCCATTTCCATTTATATGTACGTGCATAAATTATCATTTGATAGGAACCCACTTATTAGACTAATAATAGAAGTATTAATAATAATATTAGTAATAAGGGTCTGAGTATTCTAGTATAAATAGACGTGAAAGGGGAGTTAGTAGTTAGGCTTTTGGACATTAGGTCTTGGGACTGGGAAGATTGAGAATTATTTCTCTCATCTAGGGGCTTCGGCTCATCTGGGGGCTTCGGCCAGGGTTTTTTATTCTCCTTCTGTAATCGATCAACTTCATCAATAAAGAGATTCATCTGTTTTCTTGTTAATATTTCTGTAAATTGTTCTGGATTCGTGGGGGTTCTATCATTGGTATCTGAGTTGTTCTGATCGCTGGATGATTTAGGCGTGCCAGGATGGAAGGAAGAATTAACGAACTGGAAAGAAAACAAAAAGAAACATCGGCAACAATGGCGACTATGGCAACGACCTTGGCAGTCATAAAGCCAAACATCGCAAAGCTAGAGAGTAAGGTCCAGAGTCGTTCGCGACATACATCGCACACTTCGCACCACGCGAATCATTCTTCGCATCGCTCTTCGGAGGCGGACATCGCAAAGCTGGAGAATAAGGTCCAGAGTCGTTCGCGACATACATCGCACACTTCGCACCACGCGAATCATTCTCCGCATCGCTCTTCGGAAAGTTCTTGCCATCGCTCTTATCATCGCTCTTCGCATCAGAGTTCGCTGAATTCCTCAACGGACATCAGTTCGCATTCAAGAAAGACACGATTGAGAAGAGAATCTTCTTCTTCACCAAAGGATTCTCACAATTCGCTATCTTCTTCTAAAGCAGTTTCTCGGAACTCAGCTAATTCAAAGACGGAGGAATTACCTCTATTTTACGAGGATGAAGCGTACGAATGGATAGAGAGGATGGAAAGATATTTCGGAGTCCAAGCTATTGCAGAAAGATTTAAAGTGGACACAACAGCAAAGGCTATGGGGGAAGAAGCGTGTGGCTGGTTTCAATGGTGGGATTTTCAAAAGAGAGAAGACTGTTGGGAGGCTCTAAAGGAAGACTTGATTAGGGATTTTCCACCTACACGCCGACAGAAGACAGGGAAGAAAGAAAGCCAAGAATTGTCGCGAAGGTCACGAAGAACTTCTTCGAGTTCGCACTCTTCGACGCGAACTAATGTTACCCCATGTTTGAAATTGAGTACTTCCCCAGCATCTCACTATTACCCTTCCTCTTCTCAAGTCGTTTCTCTGTGTTCGCCAGTTTTATTGCAAGATTGTTTTGTACCTGCGCAAGAAATTATCCCGTCCATAAAGGAGATTGAGAGGGAGCCAATTGAATCTGGAATGAAGAAAACGAATAAGGACAAAATCGAGGAGCAAACTACCTTTGTAGGTATCTTAAAGTCGGAAACGGTTCTTCAGGTTAAACAAACGCCAGATTATGCTTCTCCTAATCTTGCAATTGATATGGAGTTAACTCCCAGTCGAGTTTCTAATGCTGGCCTGCTTGTCCACCCATGTTCCTTCGGAAGTAGAGTCTTAATTGCTTATGAAATTGGAGCAATTAAAATCAAGAACGTTTCAGATGATAAAGCTGTTCTGATCAAAAGTCAAGAACCTAGACAACCAAGGGAAATGTTTTCAGAATATTCAGGCATTGGTAAAAGGAAATCTGGTCTAGAGGCTCAGGAGGATCATGTGGATCTTTTGTTAGGAGAATTTGCTATTATGTTTGGAAACCGTAAACCGATTGATGAGGATGACAAGTCTAACCATTTCCAGCACCTTGACAGGAGTTCCCTGCAACTCGCAACAGTAATTGTTAAAGACTTATCAGGAGTAAAAGAAGCAGAATTGCAGCCTATTGTTGATAGCATGATAAACTACCACAAGTTTGGCTTACATAATCCATTGAAAGCATTAGAAGGATATCTAAAAATGGGAGACATCACTGCAAAGACTGTTCTTAACCTATCACTTCCTGATGTTTTTGACATCTTCACAAAGAGTATTACAGAAGATGGCTCTTAAGAATTATCACCAAGCTGTAGGTGAAGTTGTTGCACCAAATTTTTTAGAAATAATCTATGGTAATCAGGTCCATTTTCTGGCAAGACCCTCTGAAGTGTCATGAAGTTATTTGGGACAGTACAGCCCTGGTTTGTGGACTTATGGTCCCTTGGAAATTATTACTTCCTTAAAATTTGCATTGGATATTCCTGCATTTCAGCTGATGGGTGTATTACTCAAGGAAAATAAGCATGTTCTTAAAGAAGACATATGGCTAAACAGTGTAATGGGACAAATGCTACTTCTGTTTCATGATGGGGGAGTACCATTGGAGATTGTTGAAGTCTTACATTCAGAAAGAGAAATACATTATGATTCAAGTTTTCTTAAACTTTCTTCTGACATGTGTGTGAATGAAGTTTTGCATGAGATATTCAGTGTGAAGTTTCAATCAAGAGATAGGGTGAAGTCAGAAGCAAATGCTAGGCTGAGGCTGGTCAGGAGTTTTTCATCTAGAGGACTAGAAGTATGGAAAAGTATGACACCACCACCAGCTAGATATTGTGAGGGGAGAGGCACCAGGAGGAAGCGGAATTCTAGACTTGGTTCCTATCATCCCACCTTGAGGACAAGGTAGTTGTTTAGGGAGGGAGTATTGATAGGAACCCACTTATTAGACTAATAATAGAAGTATTAATAATAATATTAGTAATAAGGGTCTGAGTATTCTAGTATAAATAGACGTGAAATGGGAGTTAGTAGTTAGGGTTTTGGACATTAGGTCTTGGGACTGGGAAGATTGAGAATTATTTCTCTCTCTTTGGGGGCTTCGGCCAGGGTTTTCTATTCTCTTTCTGTAATCAATCAACTTCATCAATAAAAAGATTCATCTGTTTTCTTGTTAATCTTTCTGTAAATTGTTCTGGATTCGTGGGGGTTCTATCATCATTCCATAATATGACTTGGATATACAGAATACCTGTTCCTTTGTTTCTCTATTGCGCTTTCAAAATGCTTGAGTAATATTGCCCTAATTTCCCAAATTATTGAGTGTAAGGCGGAGCTCCTTTGTTCTCAAGCAATTTTAATTGTTCTTGTCTTATTTCTAACTCCATGCTTATTTTAGGTCTGAAATGATCGATAAATGCTTCAGTCCAGACACAGTTGAGGAAATAATTGAAGCTTTGGTAAGCCCCACATCATATACTTCTGGCGGAGTGGCAGAGTGTTGAGAAACATTCTTAGTATTGAGAAAAGAGTTTGTTAACTTCTTGAATTTTGTTGTATTTGTTTAAACCAATACTCATTAATCAGGAAAATGTGAAAAAAATGGTTTATTCAGGAAAAGCAGGCAGCTGAGTCGTATGATGAATGGTTTACTTCAACTCTCAAAAAGATAAAAGCAGCTTCTCCTTTAAGCTTGAAAGTCACTTTGAATTCAGTAAGCTGTTTAAGCATTTTCATTTCTTTAGGAACAATTTCAATATTCACCAAAAATATAAACTCTTGCTGCTGAATAATTAGATTAGGGAAGGGAGATTTCGGCCACTTGAGCAGTGTCTGACAAGTGAATATCGTGTATCCGTGAACTGGATTTTGAAGCACGTTTCTGGTGATTTTTGTGAGGTAGTCCTTCCTTTTTGGAAAATGCTAGGGGTACACAAGTTGTACACAACTTGTACACACAATGTCGGTCACAAACATTTGGTACGGAGTTGCTTGTGACCACAGACAAGAGTTGTCTGTGTACACAGACAAATTTTGTCTGTTTCCACAGACATTTACTTTTTTGTAAAAAGTACTTGTCAGTGTCAGGCGGCTCTCAGTGTACTTTTTACAAAAAAAGTAAATGTCTGTGGAAACAGACAAAATTTGTCTGTGTACACAGACAACTCTCGTCTGTGGTCACAGACAACTCCGTACCAAATGTCTGTGACCGACATTGTGTGTACAAGTTGTGTACAACTTGTGTACCCCTAACATTTTCCTTCCTTTTTCTCCTAAAAGTGTTACCAAGTTTAAGTGATTGTTAATTAGCCTGCAACTTTTTTTTCTTATTTTACTGAGAAATAGGATATGGTTTGTGGTTAAGAGGTTAAGTTTTAGCATATAGTGTTCAAGAATATTTTTGAAATAAAAAACGTTAAAAGGATAAAACTGAAATGTTAAACATTAGGTGATGAAAAAATGCTCATGAATTATAAATACAATGCTGTGCATAAACGTTAAAATGATAAATTCCACTATTGTTTATGCAGGGTGTTCGTGCAAGATTAATTGACAAGGATTTTGCTCCAAAGGTATTGAATGGTCCACTTTCATGAATAGATAAAAATTGCAGATGATGAAATTGGTTTTATGATATCTTTGAATGATCTATAATTGGTACAGTGGGATCCGCCACGATTGGAGGACGTTACGAAGGACATGGTTGACGGCTTCTTTGCTCCCCTGGCCGAGTTCGAATCAGAACTAAACTTGCCAACATCGATACGAGAGCCTTTTGCCTAATCTGTTTGTG